GAAGGTGGCGGCGCCGGAGTGGTTCCTCCCGTGCCGCCAGGGAGAGGCGACGCGGGGGTCAGGAAGGTGCTGTTGGTTGTGATTTGAAGGAATGCAATCAGCACCTCGCATTGTTGATATCGAAGGAACATGCGCACCAACCGTTGGCAAGTTAACATACTTCCGGGAAGAGACGCGCAGTGGCCTCCTGCTGCAACTCAAGGCACTCTGGGCTCCATGACAAGCATCGGTCCACACGTAACCACGTGCTACGGGCCAAGCTCAAGCTGCACATGCAGTCGCTGGCACCAGACCAGAGGCAAAAGGCAACCAAGATAACTCCGAACCTCCCGCGCAAATGAAGCTTTGTGCAGCTGTGACGGACCACCCCGTTGCCGGCTTGCTCGCCAGTCGCGATGCATGGCCGCATGGGCACCGCGCGGAGGTTACGAGATTATGGGACGTCCGGCGTCGTCGCGTCTTCTAACTGGCAACACGTCCGGGTGCAGACGCGCTTTTGCTTCCTCGTCCTTCGCAGCTAGCTAGGCAACTGGCAACACGTATGTCCGATAATAGCATTTCCTCTGATCCGTCGTTTTAAAAAACAAAAAAACCCGCAGAAAATAGAGCATTCATTTGGACCTCTTTTTTTTTCAGGAAGGTCCTTAGTGGCATGATAACATTCTGACTGCAAATTTTATTATAGAAGTTCACGGGCAGCACCGACGAGGGAGGGGCGATGATGGTGACACATCTTCGGCTCGCTTCCGTATTTATAGTCGTCGCTAGGTAATCTATGGTTTTGAATGTAATTATTATTATTATTATTTGATGTCTGTTGTGCTACCATGATTGAAAATAAATAGATTAATTTTTTTTTAAAAAAAGGAAACAAGTTGACATTACATAAATTAACATAATTCCTATTTTTACTAATCATCTGTCTTGTGTATACATTCTCTTTTGAGTGAAGTGCATTGTAGGTCCTTGAACTATTCCAGGGATGTCACATAGGTCCTCGAACTATGAAAATCGTCATCTAGGTCCTCAAAGTGCAGTAAGTGTGTCATTCAGGTCCAAAATCTCCCTGACAGGCTCTAACTGGCCAGCTGGCACATAAACAGTAACCGTAACAGTACGCGGCAAACAGTCCTGAATTCCCGTGCGTGATGAACAGTACACGACAAAGAATAAATATAAAAAAATATCAAAAAATTGAGATCCTCTGTCATCGAAGAGACCCTGGCGCGTGAACAGTAAAAATGTCATTAATTCAAAAAAAAATCGTGAACGATGAATTTGGAAAAATATTTGTGACTTTAATAAAATGTTCGCGAACGATGAATTTGGAAAAAAATATTCGCGACTTCAAAAAAATATTCGTGAGTTTAAAAGAAGTTCGTGAATGATGAATTTGGAAAAAATATTCACGACTTTAAAAAAATGTTCGCGAACGATGAATTTGGGAAAAATATTCGTGAGTTTAAAAAAAGTTTGCGAACGATGAATTTGGAAAAAATATTCATGACTTTAAAAAAATGTTCACGAACGATGAATTTGGAAAAAATATTCTTGACTTTAATAAAATGTTCGCGAACGATGAATTCGGAAAAAATATTTGCGACTTTAATAAAAATTTCACTAACATTTTTTAAAGTCAGGAATTTTTGTGGTTCGCGATCATTTTTTTCCATACCCACGAACAATATTTGTGGTTCGCGAACATATTTTCAAATTTATTGTTTGTGAACTTTTTTAAAGTCGCGAATATTTTTCCCATATTCGCGAACATTTTTTTGAATTAATGAGCATTTTTACTATTCACGCACCAGGGGTATCTTTGATGCCAAAGATTTTCAGATTTTTTTGTTCATATTTTTTTATTTTTCACACTGTTCACCATGCCAGCTGGCCATTTAGAGGGGGTTAGTGAGATTTTGGACCTGGATGACACACTTACTATACTTCGAGGACCTAAATGACGATTTTCATAGTTCGAGGACCTATGTGACACCCCTAAAATAGTTTAAGGACCTACAGTGCACTTCACTCTTCTCTTTTCACCTTTGCGTTTTTTCTATTCTTTTGTCTCTAGAACTAGAATCATGTGAGCCAGACAAGCCTCAGATGACAAGATCGATGTCCGAGTCGTTCGGGCATTCGGGGTAATCGACTGCCCCCGGCCCCGGGGTCAATCAGCAAACAACATCGACCGTTCCAAATCAAACAGCTGCTGATTAAGCAGTCACGCGCTCACTCGTACGAACTTTCAGAGCGCCCCGGACGAAGACGACATACTGTAGTAGTACGTCTCTACTGTGTATGCCTGGTCGGCAGCTGTGCACAGTGTACATATATCATCCTTTGCACCACGTCAGATCCGTCCGGTGGCAGTCACCACTCACCACCCACCAGCGCCCTGTCTGTGGTGATAATCTGAGATCGGATCGGAACTCAGACACCACTATAAGCACCCAACTGCTGGTCAGTGGCCACGCCCGACAACTGCAAACAAAAGGTCAACGGCTAAATGGTTAGGGTCTTAGTACACAATTGCATACCGTCCACTCTATCATAGCACAGGAATACAGCCGGACGAGGCCAAGGTACAGGTGCTGCTGAACTGGGAAGTTTCTACTAGTCCTACACACTTGAAATCACCCAAGTCAAGAGAAACAACAAGTATACTTGCCATATAGTTTCACAGCATACTGCCTTCGCCTCTGAGGCGAAGACAAAATTCTACTAGTACAGACTAGCAAGAAACTTCAGGCAACGTCTACAACTTGGGTAATAGATCCGCATTGCCATAGTCTACACCAGTGACACGTTTAACCAGCAGGCTGGCGCCAGCGAACGCCGATCTCATTGCATCCCGCTTGTTTTCTGAACGATCTCATCATCTTTCATGTACTTCTCCTGCACCGCAGCTGTTGTAACCATATATGTTAAGGAAAAAATAATGTGCAAGCACTTGGCATGTACTCCCTCCGTTCCGAATTACTTGTCTTGGATTTGTCTAGATACGGATGTATCTAGACTCATTTTATTGCTAGATACCTCCGTATCTAGACAAATCTAAGACAAGTAATTTGGAACGGAGGGAGTACAGTATAATGGATTGGTGCATCAGGAGCATTTCATTGCCAAGAAAAACATCATGCAGTGTACACTCTAGTAGACTAGTGGTACCATACCTACATATTGAGCTAGACTATCAGATTCGTTGTCTTGCGATCTAGTCTAGTCACCATATACTTTATATACTATTCGGCGTTGAATGAGTTGACAGGACCATCAATATGCATGTACACGCCAGAACGCCAGAAATAGGTGATCTAAATAGTGCACTTCTACCACATTAAAGAGCATATAAGTAATGGGACAAGAAAGATGCTTGTTTGAATAAGTTGGTACAAGAGGCAGTAAAGGATATCTGTAGTAGTCCCAGTCAAGAGGCGCAGCCGCGATTTTGCTGAACTCAACAGCGCTGCTGTCTATAGAAGAGAATATATAGCCGTTGCTCTTGTCAATCAACTTCACAAGATTACCGACACTTTCCTTGTCCTAGAGGCAAAAGTAAGGAATTAAGTCTATTGAATTGCATCCACCAACCAGTTCAGCAACATGAAACTGAATTGAAATAATAAATTGCTTCCAGTACAGACCTGGATGTCCAAAGTCGAAAAATTGACTAAGCTAAAATCATCAATCACATCACATAGCTCTTTCGTAAGTTTCCTGTCAGCAAAATACAAAAGGGTTCTAAGAAACCTGAAGTCTAAAAACAGCATATCATAATTAACACAAGTATAAGATCAACAACATTGCAGGTCTTCCGTGAATGATTCCAAAGGTTACTGCGTTTAAGGGTTCATAATGCTGTGCTTAAGGGTTCATAACGTTTGACAGTGCAACACTAGTCTACTGAAGATGCCTGACATCCTCTAACAACTTCCGAGTGTTACTATGTAAGTGCATTACTACATTAGATCACTATCTTACCTGAACAAGGAGAGTTCTAGATCTTTGTGCAGGTACATAATTGTAGCTTAAGAATGTTTACACAATTTAAAAGTGAAAACAATAACAAATCAGTGCTGTGTTATATTTTATAATGCTTTTCAGCGAACTGGAGATGCCTACTAAAGGACTAACTGCTAAATACTATCAAGTCTGGACAGGTTTATGACTTTCAGTAGGTGCAGTACGGACTGTACGTACCCCTTACCCAAGGAATTAAAGTTAATTGTTAGTCGTCATATTTACCTGTACTTGGCAGAACGAGGATCTTGATCAAGATGGTATTGCAAATAGGACAGGTCTTGGACATCAGTGTAGAAGTCAAGGTTGAATGCTGATAATAAAGAAAATGAGTAACAACTACAGCTGAAACATTTGCTAAACTAAAGGCAGCTGCAGACAAGCACAATACCTAAATTTCCATAGTTCTCAATAAGGTCAATCTTTGATAAAACATTGATGTGTGGTAGCTCCAAGTGTAACATTGTTGATAGTGAAAGAAGCAAAGCACTCACATACTTCCCAGGATCACAACATAAATGAGCATCAACAAGGTGCACAGCAGTCAGCTGCAAAATACCAAGAACGAGTGGGTAATGAAATTCATTAACAGAATAACTTGCTTGAATTAAACTGAAAACATGCATGTACCCGCAAGTCTAGCTTTTTGATGAGTTTATTGATGATATTCCTTGCATTTGTGTGAAGGGAGAAAAGTTCCACTTGCCCCGGGAAATCAAATAAAAAATAGTGATCTGCAGCAATCACCAACCTTCAGCAATTCATAATGGAAAGTAGTACAAGTTGAGCAGCAATGCAGCATTGATGCGTAGCTGCTGCAATAGTCCTCTACTATGATATTAACCTTTCAGAAAATAGCTCGATAAACAGCAGAATAATCCAAAAATCCATGGTTGCAGATTATTCACAACTCTAATTTGGAATAGCAAAAAGGTTCCATTCAAGGTCATAGCAAAGTGAGTTGACCATTTTAAAAGTAGGTTGATCTGTATTGGCAATTATTACTTTATTCTTCGATTGTCCCATAAGGAATTATTAATTTTCATCAAAGGTTCCCAGCACTTCAATGTCAAAACAGAATCTGGCAGCTTAGTTATGAATAGAACTGGGTCAACCTGCTTTCTATCTACTCCCTCCGTCCCAAAATAAGTGTCTCAACTTAAAAAGATTTTCAATTTTATGGATATCACAGCCAAAGAATATAAGTTCAGTTTCTCTGGTTCACTATCTTGAAGCTGTTGTTTGGACATGGACATGGTCTTAAAAATACAGCTTTGACTATCAATTTGCAATCCAGATCATTGCTAGCTTTGATTTTTGTAATACGAATATATGTCCTTTCTGTCAATGATCTGGATTGCAAACTGGATCAACAGTTAGAGTTTGACTGACAATATATAATACTCCCTCCGTCCCAAACATAAGTGTCGCTGATTTAGTACAAAGTTAATACATTTTTTGAAAATTCACAGCTATGATCTAAGTATCCAATCTAAATATTTGTACAGATAAAAATAAAAGGGCAGCTCGGTGCATGTAGCTCCCGCTTGCGCAGGGTCCGGGGAAGGGTCCGACCACTTTGGGTCTATTGTATGCAGCCTTTCCCTACATTTTTGTAAGAGGCTGTTTCCAGGACTTGAACCCGTGACCTCATGGTCACAAGGCAGAAGCTTTACCACTGCGCCAAGGCTCCCCTTCAAATATTTGTACGGATAATAGTCAAAATTTCAAGATCTTAACTCTACCCTTGACCAAAACGACAGCTTTTACAGCACCAGAGCGAAGTTCAGAGAAAGGCACTCCGCACTCACCTTCAATAAGAGGTTTCAGTTTCTCTTCAAGCCAGTCAATATTCATCTCCAAGTAATCCATGCAATACACAAGCCCTGACAAAGATATAAACAGCACAGCATAAGTAAGGATAGAAATGAAACAGGTACACTTGATTCTTGAACACTGGATCAACCTCCATTAGGACCAAGCGAATGCTCAGACATGACATCACTGAGCTTTATGAGGTCCTCAATGTTGATGGCACATTCATATCTAAATACCAATGTCAAGGACTCATTTTGAGTGTAACTGCAGAACCCGATGGTAACACATGGTAAAAAAAAAACAAGGGGAAAGGTCATTTCAAGGCTCAATGAGCAAAGGATACGGCAATGCATCATTCGCGGGGTCGAGATTGATGACCACAACTTTCCTGCAACCAACAATCAAGCACTATGACCTTGTGAATTAGTTAGACAATAACTGGCACAGAAGCACCAGAACGGATAACACTGGAAGCCCAGTTATGGAAAGGAAATTATGCACCACGCCATTCTCCTAATGTTTACCTCCCATCAGAAAAATGCCTTATTACATACAGAGTAGATAAACCATACTAAACTGAACATAACACAAGGTCAGGCATTGGAACAGCAAAAGAGAAACTAGCACTGGAAGTCAGGAAAGCAGTTCGTAGTGATGGAATACTTTTTTTTTGCGGGGTATGGAGTACTAGCTAGTTAATAGCAAGGCTGCAGTTATTGAGTACCTTCCTACGAGGGAGAGGAACTGGGACATGCCGTTGCAGTAGGTGGTCTTGCCGGAGCCTGGTGGCCCGATCACAACCTGTCCAAACACCATCTCCTCTTCTCGTACCCAGTGGAGGTTCTAGGGTTTTAAAACAGGGTGGTCCACCTGAAAAAATTGACAACAAATATGACGTGCCAACATTCTAACTAATTTACCAATAGCACATAGAAATAGATCAATATGGTCTTACAGACATACTAAAATTCTCAATTTTGCATAGGAGAAGCCTACATAATACATACCTTGAGAAGTTCAAAGAAGAGTATGTGGCATTGTTAATTTGTTAAAGTGGCATCGTTAGAGTAACTTGTTAGAGTGGCAAACAATCAGACAAATCATTATTATGTCATTGATCAGGTGCTCATGTACTGAATAGCAAATAAGGTGTATGTGTTCACAGGACTCTGTATTCATGTACTGGATAGCAAGCCTGATTGTTTAGTTAACGAAATAGACTTGACTTCCACCTGATCGATGCAGTAGACAGCTAAGAGCAAACCCTAAATCAGAAATTGGGGAATGGGCAGTCCCGCAGTGGACAACTTACCTCGCGTCCTCTAATCGGGCTAAAGGCTGGCCACCGGGCAGGGTAGCTGACTTGCTGCCGGCCGAGTGCTGGAGTCGACGTATAGCGGACTGGGCGGCAGGCGCCGGCTTGCAGGGGCGCGGTGGCGCCGGGCGCCGGGCGGGCGGGGCGGGCAGGGGCGGCTCCTAGGCGTGTAGCGACGGCGAGGCAGGCGGCGCAAGATCGGGAGTCGAGCGGCCGAGGTCGGGGGCGAGCAGGGGCTCGGTGGTAAGCCGGCTGTCCCAGTGTCCCCTGCGTGCGTTGTTTGTTGGGCTAGCCGGCTGAGATGGGTCGGGACGAGTAAGCCATTGTTTGTTGGGCTTCTTTTTCCTCTGGTCCATCTGTAATTTTCTCCTATGAGCCCGGTCTAAGATCCAAGGTGGGCCGAGACCCACCTTGTCCACCCTGTCTATAGATCAATCGTGGTGCCGAATAAAAATCGAGCTTGTACTCCGACGATAGGCAGTCGATGAGGTACTCCGACGAGAAACCGACATACCCTCACCACATATCGATGAATGCGGCGAGAAATAGGTACCGTCCGCAGAGGCGAGGCAACGGTAGGAAGGGAATAGAGATTGAAATCTTTGCAATGCCCGTATTGTCGACGGTTAGTAACCACCACGACACCACTGCCGGCGCAGGTGCTGCTTTGCTTACCGCAACCATCTGTTGCTGCTCGTGGGAGGCATAATAGGTGAGATACCGACAATAGTCGGCAGAGTAGGGGGGGCGTGGAAGTTACAGAACATCTGTTGCTGCTCGTGGGAGGCATAATAGGTGAGATACCGACAATAGTCGGCAGAGTAGGGGGAGGGGGCGTGGAAGTTACAGAATTTCTACTTTCTCCTCGAACACTGGACATATGTTTGAGCACAATTTTTTTCTAGTACAAAGCTCCTCGGTTGTCATTTGGCCACCAAACTTTACAAGCAACTGTAACATATGTTTATACTATTGTCACAAAGTTTTAGATTGTTTTGAAATGTTTTGTTATGTTTTCGGCCAGGTGTCCCGGCTTTGCAGTGTCCTGGGGTGTAGAAACCCACTCTCAAGTAACATTGCTCACAGACGATGCCCTTGATCCAGTCAAGTGTCAGATTAATAGACACATTAGAGGCACCAGTGGGGTCTTACCACCTACGGAAGGGCCCGGGCTTGGGTAAATCCCTTGTTCTTCGCCAAACCGTCTCTGATCCCCAATGCGCTCACCCATCCGAACAAATCGTCATCAATCGACAACACTATCGGTACAAAATGGTGACAACTAGAAATGATGTTTATGTACGCAAATGATGGAACAAATAGCAAAGGTTTCTGAAAAAATAGCAAAAGTTTGAGAATTTGAGTTTAGAAAGGGACTAGGTACTAGGCTTCATACCCGAAATCATTTGAGAGCGGGTTTAGAAAATTGATATATGGAGCTGATCAATTAAATTACGAGAGAAGTGGCAACAGGCCCCGAATGAGCAGGGCCCAAAATCCTGACATATATCAGGAGCAAGAAAAAGAATAAAAGACACCACACACAGCCGTGGTGCTCGTACCCTGCACCGAGCAAGCTAGGATTTCTACTGCCTCCTGCCGGTAGGCGATCTACCTCGTCTCATGTGGTCTTAAGACCTTGCTGGTGCGGTGGACCATGAAGTATATCTATTCCTAATAATAAAGCACGGATTGACTTCGTGGGTTCACCGTCACAATACGCTTCTTCACATGAATTTACGCTTTTAGATTTTTTTACCTATATTATTTTTTCTACATCCGAGGTGGTACTATTCATGTAGCTGGGATTTACTTGTCAAGTTGACGGTCGTGCCGTTTTTACAAAACGATCCCTGTGTTTTTTCACAATAAACCCGCACTCCATGAAGTATGTTTGTTTAGAAAAAAACGTTCCGATACACCGCCGTTGCGTCCGCAAGGAAAAATAAATTGTGGCGTGCGAGGATCGAACTCGCTCCCTGCTATGCTGTCGACGAGACGGAACCAGCTGGGCTGGCTGCCCTTTGATTCCATTCAATGGGATGTGTGCTATAAAAAAGAGGCACGGAAGAGATCCGACACAGAAGGGATAATCGGATGGATTTCTTAGAAAGAAAGACCCCATTATGGGAAGGTGCGGTAAGACCAATCATAATGGGAGTACATGTAAAGACCACATAATGGGAACGTCCACATGGATCGGTTACAGCACGCATGCAGCGTGCATATGCCCTACGCATAGCGGTATGTTTTTTTTATCATATATATGTCTTTTTACTAATTCTAAAACAGATTAAGTGATACTCACCATCTATCTTGGTTGGTGAGAATTTTGAATTAAGCCTTATAAACCGGAAAGGAGGGAGTACTAATTATTCGATTGATTATATTAAAATAACACCCAAACTTTTTACTAATTCTAAAATAACTACAGATTATATGATACTAATTATTCGAGTGATGATTTTAAAACAACACCCAAACTTTTTACTAATTCAAAAATAATTACAGATTAAATGATACTAATTATTCAAGTGATTATTTTAAAACAACACCCAAACAAATTCTACAAAAAAATAAAAAATCGACAGGCGAAGATTTACTACTTATTTAAAGCACAAAACAATTAGTGTTTTCTTTTATATCTATATCTATACCTATTTAAAGGAAGGTGATATTTTGGGTTTCGTCCTGCTTCGTTTGATCCTGCTTCAATTAATTTTACGTACGCTATTTGGTTTCGTTATTTGCCACCCGTTTTGGCCAAACGGAGAAAGCCCATCTGGCGGCGCACAGAGGCCCAGGGCTGGAGAGCTGGCAAAAAATAAAATTGCCGACGGGAGGATTCGATCTCATAATCTACGAACCGGCCACCACTGTTTGTCCAACTGACCCAGCTAAAAATATGAGAGGATTTTTTTTCTCCCGTTGCAACGCACGGGCTTTTTTGCTAGTATTAAAAATTTACTACTGTACATGCCAGCTATTAGGTTGACTTTAGATGACATAACAACTCCTTATAATCAATTGGCTATATTATTAACCATACTCTTACCGGCAAAAAAGAAAAATCCACTCGGGGTTAAACAATGGACGACCCATGCCCATGCCCCATGCGCATGCAGTGACGCAACAGAACTCCCGGCGGGTAGTATAGCACCTGGCAACTCACATCATCGCCATCCAGTCCAGTCTACAGATCCCCAAATAACGCCCGTCGAACTGATCGATTCGGCACGATCGACGCCGCACGACTTAACAATTAACCCGGCTGATCAATCAGATTGCAGAAACGGAGCTCCACCGCCGCCGCCGCCTGCCGGTGCGATGGCCATTCGCCGACGCGACGTGGTCGCCCGTTCCGTGCGATGGTGTACAGAGAATCAGGTCGCTCGCTGAGGGAAATCTTTGATCTTTCCGGCCGGTCAGCCATGAAGGCAGATTCATGTGCGCGGTGGCAGTGGCTGGGTCGGGTCGGGAGACCGAGCGTCCAAGTCGCCGGGTGGGACTCTTGACCCGGCAGCAGCAGCATATTTGACCGGGAACGAGGTGATAAGAAAATAATGAGCATGCATGACATTTTTAATTAAATTAATCCAAGAATAAATAATGAGCATGACATTGACAGTATTGATAACACACTGGTTACAATCTAACAAAGCACGTACTACACATATCTTCTTAAACTCCAATAGCATGAGGAAGACAATCCCTTATAAACCACTCCAACTCTTCTTCCATTTTCGGGGTGAGACTAAACTTCCCACCACCTTATCATGCCACCTACATGGGCCCTTAGAGATCAAATCTAAAATTGTCATATGGGCTCTAGGCCCATCTCATATTTCAATAATCCCCCATCAGATCTCAGGGGCCCAGTTTGTCCTTTGTTCCAAACGCTGTTTTGATATACCAGCATATCAGTGGAGACCGATTAAGGTTGAGCTCCACCTAGACCAAGTAGTTACACTCCTTCACAACTGAACAATGGGCTATTCCTTGAATTGTCAGTTTGGCGTCAAGAAGTTTCAGCACAAGTCTCACTGATACGAGGCTGCCGAAGGCCGACCCTCGGGTGGAGCATATTAGTCACACTCCTAGCATGTTCATGAGCTTGCTTGAGATCACCCCAATCTCATAGACTGTGACCAGCAGTCGGGCTCATATAGGTGTGTTCCTCAAAAGATCGCTCTGTGGGATAGCATCTTGCTTATGCATATAAGCCTTGGAACACATTAAGACAGTAGTCATCATTCCATACAGTTTCCGAGAGTATTGCATCTTCAACGGAGTGGGTTAGTGAAGTTACTCTCCTTAGTTCACCACTGGCTTGTTTTCCCAGGTCCTACTTCACGGGATCTCCGATCACATAGGTCGGGTTACTACCATGGCAACTCATGTGGGTCTCATACCCATCTTCCTTGATGCGTTATCTATCACAACACGTGATAGCCCTTTAGTAAAGGGATCTGCCAGATTCTTAGCCGTTTGAATATAATCC